ATGGTGTTGTTAGGGGCCAGTGACTAGCTCCTCAGTTCCATTTAACTACTTAATATAAATTGGCTTTTATAAGGGAATATTTACTTCAGAGGTACAGCAAGAACCTTGTATAAATATTTTCCCTAAACATCTTGGGGCCACATCTCCCCTATATCACTTTAGTCTCTGGTGGGGAAGAGAGAGAAAGAAGAAGGCTCAACTGACTTCAGTTCCTATATAGAACTGGTTCCACTGAGTTAATGTCCAGATGCTCTATGACATTTTCATTATATTAGCTTGGCCTGTCCACAAGCAATTTGTACAGGGCATTCCAAAAGTCTCAAGACTTTTCTTGAGGTTTTTTGTATTTCTCTAAATATGTAGTTTTGTCTTCATTTCCATAAAGTGTTTTGTAGTAGTATTTGTATAGTTCCTGTGTGTAGCTTGCTAGATAGAGTACCAGATATTTTATACATTCTGTAGATATCTTGAATGGAATTTATATCTTCCTGTTGGATTTGGTCGGTAATATACAGAAATAATGATTGTTTATCCGGATTTATTTTACATCTTGCAACTTTACTAAAGTTATTGTTTCAATTAATTTTTGAAAAACTATCATGCTGCGCAGATAAATATGTACACTCCTTTGTTTTCCCACTCAATAATTGCCAAAGATCTATCATATCTCATTTTCTAAAGTTCTATTCAAGTCCTTTACTTCTTACTTTTTTTGTTTGTTTGTTTAAACATGTCTAGGCTTGAAGGCGTATCGTATCCCCAGCTACTATAATTTTGCAATCTATTTTTCCTTGTAATTAATTTAATTTTTCCTTTAGGTATTTAGATTTTTGCTATGCCATTTGATACAAGTATGTTAAATATTTGGTACTCATTGTCTGTGGTGCCTTTAAGGCTAATATAATTTTCCTAGTTCTCTCTTTTAAAATCAAGTATTTTTTGCTTCCTTATCTGTAAAGTAGGAGTAATAATAGCACCTACCTCTTAGGATTGTTGTGAGGATCAAATGAGATAATAATTGTAAAGCATTTAACATAGTGCCTGGCACATAGAAGGCATTCTATAAATGTTAACTGTTACTATTATTATCCTTGTTTAGTCCCTTCCAATTGCTCAAACGTTTATCTTTTTATGTCTCTTGACTCTTGTGTTTACATTTTAAAGATTCTATTCAACTCTGTTCTTTTCACCAGAAATACTTATTAGTTTTTTATTTCATTAAAAGTATAATTTTTCTCCTTAAAGATATTCAGTTTTGCTGAGTGATTTATTTTTCATTGTAAGACTATATATTTTGCCTTTTGGCATGTTGCATTACAAGCTCTCCTCTTCCATATTGATAATTGTAGTTTGCAAATCTTGTTATACTGACTGTGAATCCTCAGAACTTGAACTCTTTTTTTTTCTGAATATTGCAGTATTTTTTATTTTACCTAGGCACTCTGGATTTTGGCTATGACATCCCTGGGAGTTTTCACTTTGGAATTTTGTTTAGGGGGTGACTGTTGGACTCTTTCTATTTTTCACTTTGCCCTCTAATTCTAACAGGTCTAAGCAGTTCTTATTTATGATTTCTTGAAATATGGTGTCCAGGGTTTTGTTTTTTGGGGTTTTTTTATAATAACTCTCAAGTTTTTTACCTTTTTTGCTTTCATGTATTTTACTCTTGACTTATTTTCCAGGTCAGTTGTTTTTTATACAAAATGCCTCATATTTTCTCTTTTTTTCCAGTCTTTTGATTTTGTCCTAATATTTCTTCTCTGATGAGGTCATTTTCTTTTGTTTTATCTATTCTAATTTTCAGGGAGCATGTTACTTGGGTACAATTTTCTACTTGTACTGAGTTATTTATTCTCCTTCAAATCTTTTCCTCTAGAGCTCTTATTCATTATTTTTTATTTTTGCTTTCATTCATTCTTCATATCATTAAAAAACATTTCCATCATCTCTTCTAGGAATTCTAATTGACCTTTTGACCAAGCTATGTTTTTGTTTGAGACTTTGCTTACAGATATTGAGGAGTTATTTTCTTCTTCTGGATTTGTGTCTTGGGTATTCCTGATTCTTTATCATTGTTATCTTTTTGTTCACATTTTCTTTAAGCTTTACTCACTGAATTGATGTTTTGTGTTTGAACCGGGCTCCATGAACTTCTACAGAGAATGCGTAGGCCTTATCTGGTCCTGATCCGTGTTATCTGGGGGTTGTAATGCTACTTTCTCTGAATATTAAATGCTGTATTCTTCAAGGATCTTAGAGTTGACTCAAGCTAGGGAGCTGCAAACTTTTGGCATGCCCTAAGCAATACGATCTAGGGAATCGTCTAATAACTGTCCTTCTAATCTAATCTTTGCAGGCTTCTAATCCAGGTTTTGATCTGGCAGTACCACTGTAGGTTTGTCCTTTATTGGAGCTCTAGTAGATAGCTGCTAGAGCTGTCTGCAACCTCTATCAGTTAACTAAAAAGTTCTTCAGGTTCAGAGTAGCAGAACTGCAGATTCATCCCTGATCCATGCTTCCTGCCCCTACACAACTGCAGGCCTAGCCTCTCTTCTTCTTTGACCCTGCTCTGGGGTCAGAGAGACAAAGTTGAAGGCTCACTCTTGCATTGCACTTCCTGCCCAGGCGCATAGCTGTTGATTGCAGGCCTCATCCCTGACCTGTGTTGAAAGGCTTGAAAACCAGCTACAGGTTCAGAGTAACATAGCTGAAGAATCTTCCCTGTTCCTGCTCTCTGTCTTGGTATATAATAACAGGACTCAGTCTCCTTCCATACTAGATCTGTGACCTTACTCCTAGGTCAGAATAACAAAGCTTCCAGCTTGCCCCTTTTCCATACTCCTTGCTCCAGTACATAGCCATAGGCCCTTGACTCCATCTATGTTCTAGAAGGTTTGTATGGACTTTTTTGGTTTGAACCACTCCCCAGTACTCACAGGCCTTTGACCATCTGCTTGTGTTGACCTGGGCTGCAAAAACAACCCACTGTGATTTCTCTTTGATTTTCTTAATTACCACTTGGTCTGGTGTTTTTTGCTTGATCCTTGTTGGAGCAGTTGTAGGAGAGAGTTGGGCTTTATGCTGCATCTTATTCTGTCATCTTGTACCAGTCACCTAGCTCATGTTTCCCACAAACTCCTTCTGGCTAGTGTATTCCACAAAATCTCTATGGCTCATACTCACAGCCCAGTAAAACCTGGGAACATTAGCATATTCCTTATTTTTCTCTCCCAAAGGGGACCTTGAGTTCTACTGCAAGAATTCAAGCTAATAAGACATCAACTCTATTAAAGCTTTTATTTAACCCAAGAATTCATAAAATATGGTCTAGGTACTCCTGGGGATCCTTTCAGGGGGGTCTGCAAGGTCAAAACTATTTTCACACGTCATTTAAATTTCTGTTATGGTAAATATCAACAGATATAACCTATGTAAATAAAAGCTCTTTTGGGTCTTCAATTATTTTTAAGAGTATAAAGGAGTCCTGAGACCAATGTTAAAAGAAATCCTGGGCCTCACCCTGATTAATAAGGCAAACTCAGGTAAAGTTTAAAGGATTTTATTTATCAGGCCAAGGCAGCAAGCATTGGGTGGGCGGGCCTTGATTCAAGCTATGCACTGCTTTTTATTAGACAGCAGTAAGCAACTTGCATATTAAGGGCAAAAATATTGATTGATTCATGTAATTATGAGAAGATGGATTAGGGCCACCTCAGCTTCTCCCTCATTAGTATCATGGGAGATGGAATTAGTGAGCATGCTCCCTACCATTATAAACAAGATTTTAAAATGGAGTCACCCAGATTGACTCAGTACAAATAGCTGACTTTTCACACCAAAATGTTTGAATTGATTTAATAGGTTAAAAAGTGAAGAATGAGCTCCTACAATTTTCTGTCAGGAAAATTCTCCTCCCTTTTTCAAAGGGAATCAAGCACCCTTGCCCACTGTTGTGTCTACCATCTGTCTTAGACTTACACAGTCCATTTGATCCACAATACTTGTGAAGAGATAGGTTCAGCTTGTTTATTGATGCATCTGGTTCCCTACTATTCTATCTAACAGCAGCAAGGAGAAAGTCTGTGGATTTGTGTCCATGGTGAAGCCCTAAGCCACATGTCTTTCTGACATATATTTCCTTGCTATGTTTCTTTCTTTCTGCTCTTACTCCATGATGTATAGGTCTCTTTGAGGCTTTGTTTCCCTTGTCTTCTACTCTTACTGAAATTATCTTAAGGGACTGAATGATGCAGTAGTATATAGGTATTCTTCACTTCATCTGGCTCTGTCACTGTTTTAGCATCTGTCTCTGATGCTAGCCCCTCAATGCATGTACATCCTTCTAGAGACATATGTATGTGCAAAATGGGAACAGGGGTAAGTTTTCGCAGATAGACGATAAGTTCAGTTATAGACATATTGAGTTGAAGATGTCAGCAAGCCATCCAGTTGGAGCTGTCTAGCTTAGCTGATGTGAAACAAGGGCTCTGGGGAGAGGTTGGAGCTACCCGTATAGATTTGGGAGTCATCTACATAGAGGTGATGAATGAAAGCAAAGAAGTAGATGCAATCACTAAGGGATAGAAAAGAGAAAGAATTAAAGAAGCCCAAAACAGAACCTTGCAGGTAATATAGTAGAAAGAGCACGGAACTTAGAATTGGAAGGCCTGTCTTTGAGTCCCTAGGCAAGTCAGCCTCTCTGACCCTTCATTTCTTCATCACATAATGAAAACAATAATGCCTGCTTACATCACAGGTTTGTGAGACTCAAATATGATAATATCTGTGCAAGTACTTTGTAAAGCATAAATAAATTATTTTAAATATTTTGTCATGCCAGCTATTTTTAATCAAAAGCGTATCATTGCAAATTACTATTTATTAGTTTTAATGTTTCCACTTTGGTACTTTACCTTTTTATATTTCAGTTAATCTACAAGTATTTAAGTATCTGCTGTGATTGTGGATGAAATGTAATGGGTTTTTTTTATTTTGTTAAGATTGGAGAACCAAAATACTTTACAACCTCAGACCGAAGAAAGGGTCAAAGATGTGAAGTAAAGCTATATGATGAAACAGAGTCTTCTTTTGCAATGCTATGGTAAACTGCCTTTCCTATTCTGAACCATGAATGAAAACATAAGATAAAGGAATGAAATCTATTTAGTTATTTCAATGCTTTATATTACTAAGAACTACTTAAACTCATCAAGAGAGAAGGTTTCCTTTCATAAAAAAGTTTTCATTTTTTTAGCATAGGGAAGTGAAATAATGCCTTAAAACTTGAAAGTATTCACATGCTCATATATTTACTATTACTCTGGATATGTACTATAACACTATTCTTAGAGTCTGTTCTGTAGGACTACCTTATACTGAGGTTATGGAGTCAAGAATTAGAAGTAATCTTAGAGGTCATTTAGTCCAAACTCCTCATTTTATACATGAGGCAACTGAAGCCCAAGGAAGTCAAAGACCACACAAGTAGGAACTAACAAAGCCAGAATCTGAATCCAGACTCTCTGCCTCTAAATCTAACATTCTTCCTACTGACACACCAAAGTAATAAACTGTTTGGATATACTTTTAAGCAGACAATCATTTATAATGAATTACAATTTATAACAAATAGTATTTAGTGAAGTGTTTTAATAATTAGCATATCCAATTTCCACTAGAACCTGTCATTCTCTGGTAGTTGTTATGCTAAATTCATGGAAAGATGATACCAAATGTAAGCTGTCAGAAATTTGATTCCAAAGATAGATAAAATAATATTTAGAGCTAAGAGATTCTGAAGAAAAAAGTCCTGAGTAGATTCTAATCAATAATATATAGAGAGAGTAGGTACCTTAACTCTTACCTGGCTCTATGGTACCATTTAATCCACAGTGCCAGTTGGGTCTAAATGGCCTGAAAGAGTTAATAATTGCACATCATTAACTCTCAGGGAATGACAAGGCAGAGAGAAGAGTGGTAATTAATTAAAACAAAATGCCAAGAGAAAACATGTAGTTTTAGAATAAAAAATACATTTCTAATTCATGAGTTAAATATTCTATGAAATAGATGAATGAATTGCCCATAAAACAGGAGAAAATTATAAGATACTAGGTTAGATATAACTTGAACATCAGTGGCTTCCACTGGAAGGAAGGTGAGAATGTAGTTTACCACAAAAAATCAATTGGAATGGGAATCAACATAGTGTGGAGTTATTTCCTTTATGCATGTTCTTTGTGGGGGTGCACAAAAACAAAGTTTTTTTTTTTTAGCTTCAGTACAGTCTACACTAAATATTAATGTGGTGTAGTAGATAGGGTGCCAGCCCTAGAGTCAAAAGGACCTAAGTTCAAATCTGGCCTCAGACACTTGCTAGCTGTGTGAGCCTGGGCTAATGACTTAACCCTATTTGCCTCGGTTTCCTCATCTGTAAAATGAGCTGGAGAAGGAAATGACAAGCCACCCAAGAAAACCCCAAAAGGGGTCATGAAGAGTTAGACATGACTAAAATGACTGAATAACAACATCAACAACAACAAAATATTAATGCAAGGAATAATTCTGCCAATATTATTATCAGCAAAACTGTATTAGTTTTCAACAATTATACAAAGACAATATAATAGTATGAGCAGTTCAGTAGGCTTGACCTCCTCTAAAACTGCAAACAGTATTCTTTTATTAGTTTTTACTAGTATATTCATCCTTTTATTAATTTCCTTTTATTTAGCTGGGATAATGAATCTATTCTACTTGCACAGAGTTGGATACCACGAGAAACAGGTATTATACTCATAGCTGTACTCAATATTTTCTTGTTGTTCTGACCCATAAGTATAAGACAAATACTAAAATAATAGACTTTTCCCCCTCCACAGTAATATTTGCTGCAGATATAAGAATAAATTTTGATAAATTTCGAAGCTGTATGACTGCAACTGTCATCTCGAAAACCATTATTACAGCTAATCCAGGTAAAAATCTTCAAAATGCCTTTCTCAGATTCACTTATTGTAGAGTCTAGTGATATAAATGAAGTTTGAATTTGAAGTGAGGGTGGTCTATTTGATTGTTTTAACATTTCCATAAGGTCTAACACTAGAATACTAGGGGCAGCTAGGTGGCACAGTGAATAGAATGCCAGGCCTGAAGTCAAGAAAATTCATCTTCCTGAGTTCAAATCTGGCCTCAGACACTTATTAGCTGTGTGACCCTGGGCAAGTCACTTATTCCTGTTTGCCTCAGTTTCCCCATCTGTAAAATGAGCTGGAGAAGAAAATGGCAAACCACTCCAAGATCTTTGCTAAGAAAACCCCAAATGGGATCATGAAGAGTTGGACACAAATGAAATAACTGAAAACGACAACACTAGAATGTTTTAAATTAATCTTCATGACCCCATATGGATTTTCTTGGCAAAGATACTAGAGTGGTTTGCCATTTCCTTCTTTAGCTCACTTTATAGATGAAGAACTGAGAGAAACAGGGTGAAGTGACTTGCCCAGAGTCACACAGCTAGTAAGTGTCTGAGGCCAGATTTGAACTCAGGCTTTATAAAAGCCTGATTTTGCATGGAAAGTATGACTTACATTCAAACCAATACAATCATTTTAATAAGTAAATGTGTCCTTTTGACTCAGCAATAACAATTCTAGGCCTATACCCTAACAAGATAAAAGAAAGAGGAAAAGGACCCACATATAGACAAAATATTCATAGCAGCTATCTTCATAGTAGCTAAAAACTTGAAATAGGAACACCTGTATATTAGGAAATGGCTAAACAAACTGTGGCATATCAATATAATGAAATATCATTGTGCCATAAGAAATGACAAAATAGTTTCAAAGGAAACTGGAAAGACCTCTATGAACTGATTTAGAGTGTAATGAGCAGAACTAGGAGAAAAAAATTATACAATGATATTATAAAGAAAAACAACTTTGAAAGATTTTAGAACTCTGATAAATGCAATGATAAACCCATGATTCCAAAGGACTGAAGATGAAACATGTTACCCATCTCCTGCCAGAGAGGTGATGGACTTAGAACACATAATGAGACATACGTTTTTGGATATAGCCAGAATGGGATTTTATTTTGCTGAATATGAGGGTTTTCTTCTTTTTTTTTGTTCACATGGGTTCAACTATCAGTTAGATCTATGTATCTAGTCCTAGTTTCTGTTCTGAGTGCCAGTTCCACATCACCCACTGCATGTTGGACATTTCAAACTGAATGTCCTATAGACATCTCAAATTCCACATCCAAAATAGACCTCATTATATTTTCCCCAAGGCACAGGTCTGATCATGTCATCCCCTACTCAACAAACTCCAGAGGTTCCCTCTTGCCTCTAGGATCAAGTATAAATTCCTCTGTTTGACATTTAATGCTTCTGATACCTTGCTCTCTTCCTACCTTTACATTCTTCTTCCACTTCACTCCCTTTCTCAAACTCTGCAGTTCAGTCATATTGTCCTACTTGCTGTTCTGCCCAAATGATGATCCCATCTCCATGCCTTTTCACTAGAGGTTCTCCATGCCTAGAATGTATCCCCCTTCTCACCTGCACCCTTTAGAATCCCTGGTTTCCTTAAAGATTCAGCTCAAGTGTCACATTCTTCCTGAAGTCTTTTCTGGTTCTCCTCTACTACCCCCTACCCTCCCCACCAGTTTCCTTTCTGACACTACATTGTATTCATTTTGCATATATTCTGTATATATTTGTCTGTATGCACGTTGTCTCTTTGCACCACATCCCACCCCACCCCACCCCATCCATTAGACTGTAACCTTCTGGAGTTAGTGAACTGTTTAGCTGTTGTCTGTCAATCCCCAGAACTTAAAAAGTCCCTGGCATATAGTAAGCCCTTAATAAATGATTATTCATTAATTTTATTTTATTTATTTTGAGAGTAGGTCTCCCTATCCTGCTCCGTCAGGAAACTGTAACAGCCATTCACAGGCAGGATCCCACTACTGATGTGCTAGGGAGCTTTGACCTGTCCCATTTCTGAGCCAGTTTGCCCCTCCTTAGTCATCCTAATCATCCCCTCCCAAGGTTCCCCATATTGATGCCAAACTTAGCATGGTAACCAGATTATCTTAGCACACTGTAGCTCAGACCTCCTGAGATCCAATATTTCAGCCTCCTCAGCAGCAGGCATTACAGGTGTTAGCCACCACACCTGACTGCTGATTGGTTTGTGAAAATCCTGTCATAGTAATTTTTCTTTCTATATTGAATAATGCTTATTTCAAATAAAACCTAGTTGTAATATAAATAATTATGTTTTATGAAAGACCATTCAATATTAGTAACTTTTTATAATGTAGTTATCGCAGAATTTTATTTTCTGTAATAAACAGCAAATTATAAATAACAAGTGCCTGTATAGAAAACAAGTGATAATTTTTATTAAGAACTTAAAATATATCCTACAAATTTAATTTCATAATCAAATTTTTCTAGCTACAATTTCTAAAAGTTTATCATTGCTTTCTTTTCTGAGTAAACATTTTAGGAGCTCTTAAGCATTTTATCCTCATTCTAATTTCTGCAGTTAGCTAGTTATATAATATTTTGGATTAGAGGAAAACTATATGGGAAAGGTAAGGCTCTAGATATCCTAGACAAGTTTTCTAGTTGACTCTTGTTAATTTGGCTTTTGTTTTTGTAGGTCTTCATGTTTTTACCATACAGAATGATCCAAGAAGCAAAAAGTCTAGGCAGCTAGGTGGTATGGTGAATAGATTGCCGGATGTGGAGTTAGAAAACTCTAAGTTCAAATCCAGCTTCAGACACTTACTAGCTGTGTGACTCTGGGCAAATTACTTAATCTCTACCTGCCTTAGTTTCCTCATCTATAAAGTAAGGATAATAGTGGTACCTACTGCCTAGGGTTGTTGTGAGGATAAGATGAGATCATATTTGTAAAGTGATTTGCAACCTTAAAATGCTGTATAGATACTAGCTATTATTTCTATTTAGTGGACAGCATTTATTTATGTTATTTTTCTTTGTTAAGACACACCAGAAGCTAATATCCTATCAAACTTTGCAAGAGAAAATGCAGAAGCAACAGCTCTAGATGATGAAATTGAGGCTCAATTAAAAGAATCCATAAATTGTAAGTGATTCTTTAAATGTTCCTTGCATTTTTTGACAGGCCAAAATCTTAGTCTTTGAAGTTTGGTTTGACATAATGGGACTTTTAATTACAGCAAAGGAAATCATATTTATAATTTATAATTATATTATCTTCCCTAAATGAGGTGATATTATTAGAGTCTTCTATTTGTTATTATCTATAATGTAACAAGTACTCTATTTAGTCTTATCTCTCATTTATGTGAAGCTGACTGGGGTAACAGAATAAAGACACATTTCACTTTGCTTCCAAATGAAACTTTCTGGGCAGCTAGGTGGCACAGTGGATAGAGCACTGGCCCTGGATTCAGGAGGATCTGAGTTCAAATCCGGCCTCAGACACATAACACTTACTAGCTGTGTGACCCTGAGCAAGTCACTTAACCCCAGTGCCTAGCCAAAAAACAAAACAAAACAAAACAAATGAAACTTCCTAGCAGAATTTAATAGATCAAAAGTCTCATTATTACAGGGAACACTAATTGATAGACACATCTTGTCATCTCAGAAGGCCAACAATTGAATTGACCTAGAAACGAAACTAATAGCTCATCATGTAGATGTGGTCACCTTGAGCTATGTCAAAAACAAACTTTGTTATTTCTTTTTCTTTGTATACTATAGCACGTTCCATGCCAACTCTTTTTGCTGTTGGACCTCACAATTACAAAGTGATCAATTTTTAGCAGCCATCTTGTTATCCACAAGGAATGATTGGCATAGCATAGTTGTAAACATAGTCGTATTTGAGTGTGAGACAGTAATTTAAAAGATGTCAGGTCATTTTGACATAGTCCAGTAACTACATCAAAAATTCTCCATGAGACCCAAGTACATGCTTTGGAAGTGAAGCGGACTTTCTGTTGACTTTTGTTTCTATACTTGATTCTGTAAGGACAG